AGCATCATATTACAGTGATATATCCACCCTCATATTTACAGCAGCACAATATATAGTAGTTAAATTGTGGAAACAGCCCAGATGCCCATCATCAGATGAATGGATGAAGAAAATGTGGTTTTTTGTTTTTGGTGCTAGGGATCGAATTCAGGACCTTGCGCTTGCAAGGCAGGCGCTGGAACCACTGAGCTAAATCCCTGGCCAGAAAATGTGGTTTTTATATACGATGGAGTACTACTCTCCCATAAAGGACAAGTAAACTTGAGACATTTTTAGGCAAATGGATGCACCTCGAGACTATACTTTTAAGTGAAATAAATTGGACACATGTGTTTAAATACGGCATTGTTTCTCTTGTGTGAGAAACTGAAAGCACAAATAAGGACCAAAATGGATGACAGATATTGGGAAGTAAGAAGAAAATGTTCAAACGGGAAGGGGAACAAGGCAGAGGGGAAGGAGAAGGGAAGGAAGGGAAAAGAAAAAAATAAGAGAATAGAATAAAAAAAATGGAAACAAAGCTTTTGTAAAGAAGGAGGGGAAGAAGGACTGAGGGAGGGGAGGGAATGGGGAAAAAAAGAATCAAGATATCATGTACAGGGCCAGGGATTTAGCTCAGTGGTTTTGCCACCTGCTGTGCAAGCGCAAGGACTGGAGTTCGATCCCTGGTACCAAAAAAAAAAAAAAGATATCATGTACAGGCACAAATTCCCTAATGACTGCAATCTTCATGTATATCAAAAGTGAACTGGGCCGGGGATTTAGCTCAGTGGTGCTGCCCCCTGCCCCGAAAACCCAAGGTTACAAGTTCGATCCCTGGTACCAAAAAAAAAAAAGTGAACAAATAAAATTTTTTAAAACAGAAAGAAAAAAAATTTTCTGTCCTGCTACTGAGCCATAGTGGAAACTGAAAAAAAGAAAAATAATATCCCCAAAAGTCTCCTGTGTTGGAAGGTGACCAGATCGTGGGACACTGTCATCAGCAGGTTCATCCACTGCGGGTCCACAGCCGGAGATGCAGTGTGGAGGTGGGGCCTGGTGGAGGGGGTCACCGGAACGGGACCTGCAGGGTGTGTCCTTGTCCTCAGTCCCTCCCTTCTCTCTCTGCTTCCTAGCTGGCATGGGCTGCTCAGCAGCTGTCTTCTGCCAAGCCTTTCCACCATGCTGTTTGTCTTTTTTTTTTTTTAGACAGGATCTCGCTACGCAGTTCAGTCTCGCCTTGAACTATGAGGCCCAGGCTGGCCTCAAATTCACTTCGATCCTCCTGCCTCAGCCTCCTCAGTGGTGGGATCATAGGTGTGCGGCACCACGCCCAGCACTGTTCATGCCTTGGAGCCAGCTGACCCTGGACTGAAACTGTGAGCCAAGAGAAATCTCTACTCTTTTAAGTTTGGGTGCTGAGCATGTTGTCCCATGATGGGAAAGTGACTAGGACTATTCCCCAAATCACATGAGTAGTGCTTGGAAGCGGGACATGGGTCCTGTGGAAGGTAATTATGATGAGATGAAGTCACTGGGGCAAAGCACCCATGATGCCTTTCATAGCTACAGACGAGGCAGCTTGCACTGTGTTGCTATGTGATGCCCTGTGCCATCTCAGCCTGAAGCAGGAAGGCCAAGCAGTGGCTGACGCTGTGCTCCCGAACTTCCAGAACCATGAGCTAATGAGGAGAGAAAGCTTTTCTTAATTATACTTTACCTGTTTAACTATAAGGCCTGGAGGGATAGAGATGGCAGTGTTACTCAGTTAACATGCCACGACCAAAGGCAAGAGTTTGCTCAGTCACTCAGGCTTGCTCCAAACTTCTAATACTCCTGCCTCAGCCTTCCAAGTAGCTGGGATTATGGGTGTGTGCCATGGTGCTGGGTATACCAAAGCCTTCAGGCCAACACTCATGACTATGACTGTGTTGGAAATAGGGTGTTTGCAGCGCTAAGATGAGGTCTTGTTGCAGTGGAGTGGCCTTGGATCCCGTGATTCATGTCCTTAGAAGAAAGCCCCAGGGAGACACAGAGACTGGAGCACAACAGTGGAGGCAGGAGCTGGAGTGAAAGTAGCTACAAAACAGAAAACACCAGGGGCTGCTCACCATCTCTGGAAGCCAGGAAGCGGCCTGGCCCTGCCCACACTGCTCCCAGGCTCCCAGCCTCTGGTACAGAAAGAATCCATTTCTGATGTTTCCAGGATTCAATCCCAGGCCAGGAGCGCCGGCAAGGTACCTGGAAAGGGACAGGTTTGTGCAGACAGATGGCTCAGCATCGCACACACTTCTCCTAAGTGAGGAGGCCTCACTGGTGCCAAAGGGCTCCGGAGGCAAGTGACTTTCCCCATCATGTAAGTTTCCTGCTTCTCTAGTCTGTCCTGTCTCAAGAGAAATGACCCAGGACAGGGCACAGGTCGGAAACGGTCAGGGTGGAGGGTGAGTCCCAAGAGTCAGGTGACTGCTGCGGGGCGAGCAGAGTGCACGCAGCAGAGCCAGGGTCCCCTGGGTGGACACTGGCTGCCCCACGGATCAGACAGCACCTGCACTGCAGGAACCAGGGCAGGCACAGGCGGAGAACAATCACCCCCGACAACCACGCTGCAGTTCCTTATGAGACGAAGGCTCTACTCGCTCAGCCCCCACGGACAGTGAAGGGGACAAAGCCAAGGGCCCGATGTACATGTCCTAAGCCTTCGTGGGGAACACAAAACAAAGCACAGTACTAACAAGCCCTTCGGCCTGGATGGGAGTCAGGTGCTCCTTCTTCCCTGGGCCTCCTCATGGAAGGATGGGGGGCCATGCTGGAAGACAGGTCCCTGAATTCCGAGAGCACAGAAGTCCCAGGCAGAACCTCCCCCCACCCCCACCCCGTCTCACAAGGTAGGTAAGAGATGTAGCGCTGAGACACACATCCGACACGCAGCTGTATCTGCAGCACGGGGCAGACGACGCTGGCCACTGCCAGGCAGACGTCCAAGGTGAGAACAGAGCACTTTTGTGGGCAGTCACCGGGAGACCAGCTAAACGGGACCAGCTCTGCCACCAGCCAGGAGCTGTGCAAACATCTGACAAGCATCAACGAGGGAACAGGATACCAAGGAGCTGTGAGACCAACTTCGACTTCCCGAGGACAGCAATCCAGAGTCCCGCAACTAGGCCATGTGACCCGAGGCGACTGCCCATGCAAATAAGGTGACTGCAGGAGGAGCTCGTTCCTCCTTGTCCTGCTCCTGAGTGTCGGGGAGCCAGGGCCACCAAAGGTGGAAGACTAGTGAAGCTCTAGGTATTTAGGCTACAACCCACGAGAGCTCTGCTGCTGTAAAGGTGAAGCAGGCTGGCCATTATGGCAGATATCTGTAGTCCTAGCTACTCAGGAGGCTGAGGCAGGAGGAAAACTTGAGGTGATGCATTCAAGACCAGCCTGGGCAACACAGTGAGACCCTGTCTCAAACAAAGCAAAACAAAACCAGAAACTAAACAGCCTTGTATAATCTGAGGTTTGCAGCTGCATTTTAGAGGCTTAGAAAACTTTGAGTCTGGATTAATGTGATTAGAGAATTCCAGCACCCCTGAGCACCTGACAGGAGTAAGTGAAAATCCTCTTAAGAGGAAGAAATCACCCCCAAGGCCTTGCAATATTTTAATAAGCAATTTTTCAAATGCAGTGTCCGGGATGGAATAAAAAATCAGGAGCCACAGAAGAGAGTACAAATCGGAGAATCTGCAGAAATCAGGCAACAGAGACACACGCCCAGGGCTGGGGATGTAGCTCAGTGGCACTGCACCTGCCTGGCAAGTGCAAGGTCCTGAGTTTGATTCCCAGTAACGGGGGGAAAAAAAAATAAACAAAAGACAAAAAACCCAGAGACACATGCCCAGCACCGGAGAGAAGCTCTAGGGAAGCCCCAAGGTCGTCCTGCTGGCCACTGGATCCTGCAGCCCCGACTCCAGCAGGCCTATACCTCCATCTCCACTCAGGCTAGTGGGTTTTCTGAGATTTGTTAGCTAGAATGAGAAATTGCCAGAGACCCCTGCAGTCAGGTTCCAGCCCCACCTGCCCGGTATATGATACAGGCTAAGAAATACACTAAGAGACAGAACTAAGAGAGAGAAAGCGGGGGGCCAGGATGACCAATGCCGGTTAACTGACAAAGGTGCTGGAAAATCCCAGGCAGTGAGTTTTATTGGCAATCAATTGGGGTGAAGGTGATGTGTGGTTTCTATGGAAATTAATGTAAACAAGGCTCAGAAAGGATGAGACAAAGCAATCTCGAATTAGGAACAGAATAGACAAAACATATGGTTTTTGTTATGGGAACGAAATTTGGGTGCAAGTTACTCTGACTTTGGCACGTAGGCTTCGGCCAGACTCACTTCTATAAACAAGCCAGTCGTGGGGTTAACTTCTCACAGTCTGCCTTGGGCATAATCAATATTACGATCCTCTGCATAAAATAGTTCACCTTGCTCTTTTTGAATGAATCAATAAGGCTACTGGACTAAAAATATAATGCAGATTAAAAATCGTTACAAATTTTATTACCTATGTATCATATATCTAATCTCTTTCATCAACATCATCAACATCATACTGGTAAACTGGGTGTGGTGGCACATACCTGTGATCCCAGCACTCGGGAGGCTGAGGCAGGAGGATCACTGTGAGTTTCAAGCCAGTCTTGACTACATAGTAAATTCAAGGCCATCTTGGACTACATAGCGAGACTGTCTCAAACAACAATAACAAAAATAAAGATGATACTGGGTAATTTTCATAGATTGCAAAATCCAGCCCTGCCTCAGGCTGTGCTGACGAGCTTTCGAGGTCCTCAACGGTGCCTCAGTCCCATTCTTCCGATGCCTCCCAGCGCTGCGCTCCTGCGTGCACCTGTGCATCAATGCCCTCTTCTGTTTCATCCTGAAAAATGCCTCTTTGTCCTTCCCAGCCCAACTGTAATCTCTCTGAACTCTTCCCGTAAATCGTTAAATCCTGACACAATGCATTATAATTATTTAGGTCTGTTTCTCAGGTAAACTACTTATTTTTAAAAAATCTTTTCCCCTCCAGTACTTGGGATTGAACCAGGGTCTCCACACTGAGCAAATTCTCAGCCTTTTTGAGACAGAGCATGCTAGTCACTTTCCAGACACCCGCAACCTAAAGGAGGAGTTCATTTTGGTTCGGTTTCAGAAATTTCAGTCGACGGTCAGGAGGTTCCAACACAGGAGCAGCACGGCAGAAAGACCCGCTGCAGACACAGCCGGTCACATCATGGCGGCCAACGAGCAGCCAGCGAGAAGGGAGGAGCCTGGGAAGTTGGAATCTTCTTCCGGGTCATCCTCAGCGACCCACTCTGAACCACTTTCCTCCCTGAGTTTATTAGTGTACGGATCCACCCAAGGCCACAGCGCCAGGATCAGTCACCTTCCCGCAGTTTCCCTGGAGTTCAGTGGTCACTCAGCACTGGGACTCCCACTCCTCGAAGTGGCTTTGTACCTCTTTCTTCTGCAAAAAAACTTACTTTTCCGTTGCACCATTTTCGACTCCTCTTCCTCTTTCTGCAGAGGAGAAAGAGAGCAGCCTGGGAAAGACAGGGGAGGAGGCTGAAGACCACCCCTCATGCCCTTACAGTTGGCCCCAAACTCAAGATTCTCCTGCCTCAGCCTCTCAAGTGATGGGACTACAAGTGTGTGCCACTGTGGTGAGTCAGCAGTAGCATCCTTTTTTTTTTTTTTTTTTGGTACCGGGGATCGAACTTGGGTCCTTACGCTTGCAAGGCAGGCGGCGGAACCACTGAGCTAAATCCCGGCCCTGCAGGAGTATTCTTATAGGTGAGACAGACTGAAAAGGCCTGAATTGTAGCCCCTCACACACATTCAAAAATTGAAGCCTTAACCTCCAAAATGATTGTAACTGGCTCCAGGTAAGATTAAATAACACGATCAGGAAGGAGGCTGATGGCACAGGATTAGAGTCTTTAGAAGAACAAGAAGAGCCATCAGCGATTTCCATCTTTCCACAGATGCAGAGAGAAGGCCACTCGAGGACACCAGGAAAAGGCAGCCGCTTGCAAGCCAACTTGGTGCTGATGTTGGACTCCGGCCTCCTGAGCCTCCTGAACCAGGGCTGCCTACAGCATCTGGCCATTGTAGCTGACACACAGACTGCTCCGAGGCCTTGGGCACATGTGTTCAAATGCATATCACTGAAGCCACACGTTCCGCCCTGGCAGACAAGAATGGGGTAAGGCGTGGACAGAAGACATTAAGAAAAATGGAAGCTTTTTAAAAAGTTTTATTTCAAGAACTTTGTTTTTACTGGTATTCCAAAAAAAGGTGGGTCAAAGTACAAAAAAAAAAGTCAGTTGAATAATAGTGTAGGTTTAGAAATCACAGCAGCAAAAGCAATGTACAGACAGCACAGACAAACCCAACATATGCAATTCTGTTTCTTTGCTTATTTTGTGTCTTTTTCCCTCCTGTACAAAACACATCAAAGCATGCCATGAGATCAGAAAAGGAAAAAGAGTTTAACAAATGGTTACAAGAAATATACTCTGTACAAGAGGAGAGAATGTGTCTTCCCTGCCCCCCACCCCCACTGCCTCTTCCTGCTTGGCTTTAGGTTAAGTTATTCTGAAGGCAGTTCACGTCCACGTCAGCCTGGTCCCCTTTGCCACCCTCCAGCTTGGGCGACATGGAGTTCTGAATGTTAAAGGGCTCCTCCTCTTTCAGGCAGGACTTGAGAACTTCCTGGATTTTGTGGGGAGCACTGGAATCATCCTAGAAGAGGAGAAAAGTTGGGGAGGGAAACGGAGACAATAGGTAGAGCAAGCGAATCATCATCCCAAGCTTTTCTGTTCGTTTTGTTTTGTTTTTGGTACCGGGTATCGAACTTGGGACCTTGTGCTTGCGGGGCAGGCAGCAGAAGCACTGAACTAAATCCCTGCCCCAACTTTTCTATTTTTTGAGACAGGGTCTAGCTGTGTAGTGCAGTCTGGCCTTCAATTCACTATGAAGTCCAGACGCCCTGAAACTCGAGGTAATCCTGCTGCCTCAGCCTCCCAAGTGCTGGGATTACAGGCATGTGCCACCACACCCAGCTAGGTTTTTCTAACTGGCTACAAGAAGCATAGTTTTAAAAAAGGAGGAAAGGGCCAGGGATTTAGCTCAGTGGTTCCATGGCCTGCCCCGCAAGTGCAAGGTCCCAAGTACCAAGGTAAGTGCCTCTCAGAGGCAGCAGTGAGGGCTCTCAGCAGACGAAGCCAGCCCCAGTACCTCCTCAGGGTACCGGCCCCACAGCAGGAGGAAGGGGCCTCTGCCTTTGTCGAGGCAGATGTGCCAGTCACCAGGGAGTGGGGCTGACATCTGGCCTAAGTCCTGGGATCTGCCGCGTACCTGTCACCAGTGTCCACTTGGCAACGTGGGCACCCTCCAGCCCCAGGGAGACTAGGGCTCAGCCTGGGCTCCGGGGTCCAGGTGTGAACTCTTTCAGAGGGGGCAGGGACTTTAGCTCAAGAGTCTGCAGTGAGAAAGTTTCCAGTGGGGGGAAGCATAAATGGATGCCCTCAAGTTCTTGGGGTAAACCTGACTCCTGGTCAGCCTGTCAGCTCGCAGGATGATCACGTCAGTCACTTCTCATGAGGGGCATGGCGTGGTGCAGGCTGGGCAGTCACTGTAGTCCCTGCGGGTTCAGGTGACTTCACTGATAAGGGGACCCCGAGTGGGCCCAGCTGCCCCTCACCCTCCTGGCTCCTGATGGTTCCTCACAAGACTCACATAGGCCTGGGCTGGGTCCACTGGTGACAGTGCCACTGCCATCAGGGCCAAAGGAGGAGCAGGGGGCCAGAGATTTAGCTCAGTGATTCCTCCTCCTGCCTTGCAAGTGCAAGGTACCGAGTTCGATCTCTGGTACCAAAAAAAAAAAAACCCAGCAAAGGAGGAGTGGGGGGGGCAGGCAGGGTGTGGCCTGGACACCTGTGTTTTGAGCATGGCTGGAGAGAGCATTTCAACAGGGTAGGGGATGACTCGCCAATCTACTTTACCTATCCTTTAGGATAAACAGAACTCCCCAGAATGTTCAGGGGCAGCAACACCAACAAGGAATCTGGGTGTTGGAGCAGGTGCAGGAGCGGCGGGGGAAGTGAGGCTGCAGGCCCAGCTCTGGAGACCCGGGCTCTGCTCCGGAGTCACTCGGACTTGGTTGGTATGATGGTCGGGAGCCGAGCAGGCTTTGCCTCGCCACAAAGTGGCAACTGTCTTTTTCCTTTTGTTGTACTGTAGGACTGAGGGTTGAACCCAGGGACTTGCTAGGCAAGTCCTCTACCACCGACCCACTTTCCCAGCCTAAGTGGCAACTGTCATCAGCCATGCCGCAGGACCCTGGCTCTGACTAAAGCTGGCCTGTACCTGGGTAGTGAGGGTCAGAGAGGATGCAAAAACCCCAGCACTCCTGCAGGGCAGCACAGTCACCCCTTTGCCCCACAGTGCTTTACAGAGAGGCTGAGGCTCCCAGGGACAAGCCAGGGAAGGAAATGAGGCTCTGGATGCAGGCAGAGCCAGGAGGCCAGCACAGCCTGGCCAACCAACCCGCTCCGCTCAGGCAGGGTCCGAGCGCCGAGCACCCTGCTTTGCTGTGAACTCAGCCTTGGGGGCGCTTTTGTGGTCAGAGACGCCACACTGCACAGAGCTGGCTCTGTCCCCATCAGGAATCCCTCAGGGAGAAGCTGTCTCCTCTCCATCCCCACGTGAAGGGGAAAGGAGTCTGTGGTTGTGGTGCCAGCGTGTTCCGAGGGACCCTGGCACTGGTCGTGCAGGAGCACTTACTGTGGACAAGGGGCAGGGGGCCCAGCACACAAAGGGAGCGAGGAGACTCCATCCCGCCCTCCAGGTGCCCACATCCCATGCCTCAGGTACCTCAGTGTCAACCTTAATGTCTTCAGACATCTTCTTTCCTTGGTTATTAAGCACATCTTGAACTTACAGATATCCTGTGCATACCAAGGAAATCATTTGTGTTCTAACCTTTGCATCAAAGACGTTAGCAGCTGCAGTGAGCAGCACAGATAGAGAACGTCTCTGTCACCCAGGAAGTTCCTGCACTGCTCGAGTGGCTGAGACCCCAGTGACCTCTCACACTCTATCGCCCATGACTTCAAAGTTTCTGTCTCAACTCTACTGCTCAGTCCGGAGTTGCCTAGTTCTCTTACGTTGTAATAACGCATTTACCTGGAGGTATGGCACCTGCAGAATGTGCAGGATTCTTGGATTGGATATAACATGATTTGGGGGTTAGCTGGTTTCCACTTTATTTTCCAAATTCTCTCCCAGTTATCCAGTACTTCACGGTCAGTCTGGGCCAGCATTGTCTGAGCCTAAGCAATGTCTTCAGAAAACAGTCTACTGGGACCTTTTACTGGGTGTCAGCTGATACACACAAGCCCTTCCTCCAGAGAGAACTGTTCCTGGGCTTGTGGTCCAACGGTGCTCTGTGCACCCAGGGCCTGACCAGATATGTCTCCGTCTGCCACCTGTGAGGCACTTCAAGAGCATCAAGGTTTTCCCAACTATTCCAAAGAGCAACCACTACTTGCTCTAATAGCCATCGGGAAATTTCTTAGCAGTGAAAACAGAACCTCGTTCTTCGTGTGGAAAGCAAATGACAATAATCAGAATTTGAAAGTATAGATGAAGCTAAACATCCTGAGTCATGCTTGGAAAACATCTCTACTCCCTGTAACCTTGGTTGTCAAAGAAGGGCCACGCCACCCAGCACCTATGTCCACCTTTGCCGCCCCCTCTCCCTCCTTCACGGCCCTCTGCCGACCTCCAATGCCCCCCGGAGGCTGCGCCCCATACAGAGCACGGGCCTGGGAGGAGGCCCACGGCATGCATAGTAAGGGGAGAGGCGAAGAAGACAGTTACCTGACAAACAACGTTATCATAGTGAGCCAAGGCACGGGCATGGGGGGAGGAGATACGGGGAGTGTCGCAAAGTTTCCTTACATTTGGGTGAGAGCCCTCCGCAATGGTGGAGAGGGAGAAGTTATCATTGTGGAGCTCAGATGGGGTCCGGAATTTGCTGTAGGAAAGGAGAGGGCAGGGAGAACGTAAGTGAAATGATCATGGCAAAATGTAACAATGGTAGCAGGGCTTCGGGGGTCAGCTCCTGCTCTCCTCCACATGCCACAGGTTGGAATAAGATGAACCATTATTTGGTATAGCGTTAGGAAAACACTTCTGCCACCTAAACCATGATCCAATACTTTCTTATCACCTCAGCTTTCTATTAGACACTTAAGTGGCTCATGTGGACTTTATTAGATAAAGAACTGACAATGATATGAACAGCTATGACCACATTTGTGCATGCCAGGCAATTACAACTACATCAAGACTACCATCTGGCCGACAGTGATTATAAGATGCCAGTGATCATAAGATGCAATCCAATTTCAAAGATGCTAACATGTGAGGAAAAATATGTGTCTCAGAATCAATAAACTGCAACAGCCTCTGTACTGCACTGAGTGCGTGGACATCACTGGAGCCATGAAATGGAGCCATGGGGGAGGAAGGCCTGGCTCTGCTCCCCACCCTCCTCTGCAGCTGCCCTGAGTGGGGTGGCCCCCACCCCTCTGCAGGTGCAAGGGGCCAAGGTCCTGGCTGTGCCTCTCTGGGTGACCGAGTGCAGTTAGCCCCCGCCTCGGTGCACAGGCACAATGGAGAGAGAAGCCCAACGCGTCTGCATAGCGCCAGAGCCCACCCGGCGAGGAACAACAGATGGCGTTTTGTCCCCGTCCCAGGGAAAGCCCTTCTGACCAGTTCCTTGGAGAGGATCTTGGGCTAGAGGGGTCATGGGGCAACGTGCTGAAGGGGAAGCAGAGCCCCATCTGCTTAAACTGTCTCCTGGGGCCTAAAGAAACTGAGCTCCAATCTCTTCCTTTTGCGACTCCCATGGCATTTTGGAAAGGTCTTTATTTTGCTTAGTGGTGGTAAGGATGATTCTATCACAGTGCACAAGGTCACACTTGAGTGTTCAAGGCCGGGACTAATGGTAAATGAATGTTGACACTCGTGTGCAAACGCAAGCACCACTCTGAAAGAGAGCTGAAAAAAGCTGCAGAGCCCCACGTGGCCCTGAATGCCGCAGCAGGGGAGGTGAACTGACACCCCACCACCGACCCCAAAATCTACTCAGGAGAGGTAAAGAGGTCTTCCTTCCTTTTTCCCTCCCTCCCTTTTTTGAGGTAACTGGGGAGTGAACTCAGGACTTCCTCACTGAGCTACATCCCCAGCCCTTTTTAAAATTTTGAAACGGGTTCAGTCTCAGCCTCCCAGAGTGCTGGGATTACAAGTGTGTGCTACCGTACCGTGAGGATTTTCTTAAATTCCTAATATTTATGTTTGGACCAGTGGTTGAGCAGATTTTAAAAAACGATGCAGTGTGATCCTAAACCCTCTCTCCTTAGCATCCACTGAGGAAGAGCTAGTGTAGAGCAACAACAGGTTTCAGGGTGGGGTTAGACCGCACTGACTTGTGGGTGAAAGCCTCACAGTGGCCACTGGCTGTCGGAGACCAGGGCAAAGGGTGCAGCCAGGCAAGGTGGGCAGACTAAGGGCAGCAAGTGACTTGGGGCCAGGGTAGGAAGTGTTTGCTGGCTGGCTGCCTTTTCTATGTCTTTCTCTCAACTCCCAGGCAGGGTGCTGGGAATGCTCCTGGTGAGCATATTCTGTGTAGGGATGGATCACCTCGGGCAAATAGCTAGCACGAACTAGAGCACCTCCAGCTAGGGATGGAGAGCGGGTGCCAGGAACCCTGGTGACAACATCCAGGTCAGGGGTCAGCACCCTCTGCCCAGGGCAGTGGCGGCATAGACTCACTTGGTCCTCCGCAGCTTGGTGTTCTCCGTCTTGAGCAGATAGAGCTTCTTGGCGAAGAACACGGTCATCATGAAGAGCAGGAGGAGCACGAGCGCCGCTGAGCCCACGGCCACGCACATGACCTGGAAGTCGGTGATGATGGACTCGCAGCGCATGCCCTTGTGCCAGATGTAGTCCTGCGTGTTGCACCTGCAGCAGCAACAGGGGGCACCGAGGCGATGGGGCAGCTGCAGCCAGGGCCTGGCCCCTTGCTCAGCCTGGCACTCTTCTCTCACCTGCTCCCGGGACCCCAGAGGATCTGCAACACCCCAGTCTGTAAGACCTCGGAGTTGGCGCTCTGCCCCATCTCTACGGCCACCCCATGAGGTGGACCGGGCAGCTTGGAGTTCCGTGATAGAAAGGAGGGGACCAAGGCCCAGGGGAAGTGAGTGAATCTAAATTACATGATGGTTAAGTGGCCAAGGTGGGCAGAGGCATCCTGGTCTTCTGCCTGCTCTGGCTCTGGGTGAAGAGAGATGAGCTGTAGGACAAACACCAGCGATGGCTACGAAGTACCAGCCTGCCCCATGAATGAAAACCTATCTTGTTCCTGTGCATCCCATCTAGATCACGTGGCTGAGCAGACACTGAAAAATTCAGACTGATAGGCAAGGACAAATGCGAAGATGGATACAAAGTCTCCTGTCCCTGTGTGCCCCAAAGTTGTCCCCCTAAAGCTTCCTATGGCTGTGAGAACTATCAGGCAAACATAGTGAGAATCAACCATTTGGGTAGGTTTTAGTCCTTTTGTTGAGTGACTTTCTCCTGCCCTTGGGGACATTCCCAGGCTCCAACTCTTCCAATGACATTGCTGTTTCCATGGGAACCAGGCTGCTTCAAAGAGGAAAGATGTGGAAGGATACAGAGGCAGGCAAAGGAGGGAGGACATGAACCTCAGGGTGAATGACAGACAAGAGAAAGGGGCCAAGAAGTGGGGAACTCATGGCACAGAGCTATCTACTCCATGTTCAGATGGCTGGGGAGACGGCTAGAGGGGATTCTTCAGTTTCGAACAGAACCTCTGCCGTCATGGGGGTTCCATCTCTGTGAGGTTGCCAGGGAATGCAGAGCCCTCGAAGTGGGGCCCTCAACCCAGTGTCCTAGGGAAGTTCTGCCTCAGCTCTGATCATTTCCCGCAGAGGGTCCGGGTGACAGAGACAAAGGCGCACTGCAGTCTGCAACTAAAGGCTCAGCAGTCTCCTGTGAGTGGAATGCAAAAACAGTTTTCCAGGCGCGGCCAGGTCTGGCTGTGCACAGCCGGAGGAGGCTGCTGGCAGCAGAGCCCGGTGTGATCCTTGGATGAGGCTGAGCTAGGGGAGCTGGGGTGGACATGTGCAGAAGCCCCACCGGGGCAGCGAGGCACTGGAGACCGTGCTCAGCAGCCATGTGGCTTAGTGAGAAGAGCACCCTTACTCTCTGCTCAGGAATTCCCTCAGCGCTCTGGGAGGTTCTGGGAATTTTCACAGCTCCCCAGAGGCCGCAAGGGCTCCAGATTCTGTGACTCGATGGGGAGTTCACTTTGAAGGTGAAAACTCCAAGTGCTATCAGAATGAAAGATGATTCTGCACAGAAATTCCACAGCTCCTGGGTTGAAATCATCGCTAGAGCTCCCCAACTGAAGTCTGAAGGGCACAACCCAGGTTCCCTCATGTGTCCGGTAGCCCTTCACCACTTCAAGGCCTCACCACCACCATTTCTTAACCACAGAACCTCCTCTGGCAATGGCTGGACCCTGTGGTCATAGCTTATCTGAGTGACCCTTGTGTCATGGATAGAAAAGGACTTCACAAAATGTAGCTTAAACTTCGATGCCAAAGGCTCAGCATTCACTGCTTTCTATGCTACTCTACCAGAACATCAAGCTCTGAGAAACCGGATTCTTCATACACCTCCAAAAAGAACAAAGAAGAAGCCTCAAGAATGACACTTAAGAGAAACTCCCAGATAATAGAAATGTTCCTCCTAGGATGAACAGAAAAAGCCCCAGCAGAGTGTGAGCACTCTACCCCACTTCTAGGGCCTGTGAAGAACCACCCAGCTCACTCCCACCCCGGCAGTGAGATATGAGCTGGTACATGACTCCCCGTAGGGCAGTTCCCAAGAATGAGGTGACAGGTGAGCACTGGTGAGGTGTGGGTGGAAGGCTACAAACAACGTCCTCTGGGATATTCTAAACTGAGTCTCTGAGAGAATCACGCACTTGGTATTCCAAGGAAGACAAACATCGATTAAGGTAGAGAGAAAAAAGCCATCACCCAAAGTCAAGCCATTCTGCAGCAGAAGCCTGAGCAGCTCTTTCTTGTCTCCTGAACCTGAGCCTGCCCTGCCTGCACCTGCAGCTGCAGCTGCCTGATCACCTTACCTGCAGAAGGCCCCTATGTTCTCCACTAGGTAGCACTGGCCGCCATTGTGACAGTAGCTGGGGAAGAGGTCGCACACAGATCGGCAGGAGCCGTTATGGCGCACAAAGCCGCTGCGACACTCGGTGCCATTTTCACTGGAGGCCAGGTCCCTGCCTGGCTCTCCTGGGCGGGGCCTGACAGCAATACTGCTGCCAGGGACCATCCCCAGGGTGTGCTGCGGAGGGACGGCATGCCACTGACTGGTGGGCTGGCCTGCTCCTGGCCCTGCGCCGGGCTTCTCCGTGTGCAGGTCATTTTCATCTTCCAGGTCTCCGACTCCCACTGCATCCTTGTCATCCTCCTCTTCCTCCTCGTCTTCCTCCAAGTCGTCATAGAAGGACGTGGTGGGGTAGAAATCCGACTCATCAAAGGGGGTGAAGTCATCGTACAAGTCAAGCAGGCTCCAGGAAGGGGTCTCCCCCTCAGGGTCCGGGTGGTGCTCTGAGGTTCCTGGTGACCCTGGGAAGCTCCCCAGGTCTGCATCTCGACCATCACCATCCAGTCCTTCGAAGTAGTCGATGTCGATGATTTCTGAGGCTGGCTGGGGCTCTAGGGTGCCTGGAATGGGGTCAGTGGGCCCTGGCTCTTGTGGATCGGGGGTGCTGCTGCCCAGGTTCAGCCAGACCTCCATGGGGCTCTCCTTGGGGAGTTTGGGGCGTGGGCTCGGCTGGTGGGCTGTGGTGGGCAAAGGCGGTGCCCCAGCTTCAGTGGCCTCAGGGGGGCTGGGGGGTATCGTTGACTGCTCCAGGGTGTCGTCGGGAGCCAGGAGCGTGGCTGGCAAGGCCTGGGTGTCGCCACTGCCCGCCTCTGCAGTCACCCCGCCAAGGCCTGCATCCTCAGCCTCCAGCCAGACAGTGCGGGTGACCGCAGCTGAGGCCTTGGGCGCCTCCTCAGGCCCGAACTCGGCCCCGGGGGGCACAGGGCCCAGGTCGCCGCCTGGCGCCCTCCACAATTGATCATCGTCCCCAGCAGCTGGAAGGCCCACCTCCCGTGTGTCGTTGGCATGCGGCTCCCATGCCAGGCCGCTCTTTGCCAGCTCTTCAGCCTCGGCTGCGCTGCCCATCTCACGTGCTGTGGGCGGGAAAGCGAGGGGCGTCAGGGTCAAGCATGTGGAGCCGTTACCCAACCAGCCTGGAGAGGCCCAGAATCAAGGCCACGCCCCACTTAAAGCCCCACCCTGGACCCACCCTCAAGCCTGGGAAAGGTACCCTAACCAGTCTTCCCCTAGGCCAGCCAGCAACAGGACCCACAGTCTGACAGGCTGAGCCAGGACATCCCAACTCTGGTCCATCCAGGAGTCTCACCCTCCGGCCTTGCCCACCAGGCCCCGCCCTCAACTCAGGGTCAGACTCCACCCTACCTCTGGGCCCCTCCCCAACCTAACCCTCAGCCCTCATCCTCAATCCCCCCACCAGCAGCCCGCCCACCTATAGGCCCCGCCCCATTTCCAGATTCCGCTCGAAGTCTCACCCTCAGGCCCCGCCCCCTCAGGCCCCGCCCCACCCGGGACCCCAGTTCCATCCCAATCCCAGACCCTTCCCCAGCCCCCACCAGGCCTGGGCCAAGCGCCCCACTCCCTAGCCGCCCCCCCGGGACGTCCTGCCTTCCCACGACCCCGCCACGGCCGCCCGAGGATAGGCGGTGCCCCGCCCCCTTTCGCAGCTCGCGGACCCCGGGCCTGAGGCACCGGCGCGGTGCCGGAGGGAGCAAGGGCTGCGGAGCTCCGGCCCCAGCCAGCACTTACCGGACACGGCGCCCGCCGCGAGGACCCGCGCGGCCCCCAGCAGCAGCAGCAGCGGCAGCGGCAGCGGCGGCG